GCCACCACCGCCCGGCAAAGCCCATTTTTAAAAAGCTTTTAAGAGCACCTATGACCTTCTCAATAAAAGTAGCTAAACAGGCAAAAGAAAATGAGAAAAAATATTTGTTTTAATGAATCACTAAGCTAACAAGAAAGTAAAAATAAAATAAAATTCCAAAGTCCAAACCCAAATAGAAAGTAGAACCTTTGGAAGGCAAGCAAGGGAAGTCAGCTTTACTCTACTGGCATCTACCGAACCTCGGAAGCTACAGGGTGGGAAGCGCGGAGATGAACATGGTTATGGAGCCATCCATCCCCTGGGCATGCTCAACCTGTTAGGGACCACACCCCTAAAGGAAACTCCTCTCGCAGCCTTCAGCTGTCAGTGACTCCTCAGCTATGAGTGGGAGCTCGTGAGTCCCTCCCTCCTCCATGCTGGAATGCTGACTGGCTCCATCTTGTGCAGGCAACCACAGATGCTGAATCCATGAGGGCATTCGTCCTGAGTGGTCCTCCCACAGATGCTGTGAATCCATGAGCTCATTCATCCTGAGTGGTCCTTCGCAATCTCTGGCTCTTACTATGTTTTCACTCCCTCTTCTGAGAAGGTCCCTGAGTCTTGGAGTGAGAGAGATCCAGCTGTCCCAGGTGTGACTGGTCACTTCCCAGGCACTTCCTCTCTACACTTGGACAGCTGTGTGACTCTGTGTTAACCTTCATCTACTGCTCAGACATGCTTCTCTGCTGAGGACAGAGCTGTCCTATAGAATCAATAAGCTTTCATCAGAATCCCAGCAAGTTTTTCCTGAAACACATCAACCTGATCCTAAATTTCATCTGAAAGAGCAAAGACAAAGGTATCTTTGAAGAAGAGGAAAGATGGTTTGAATGAGAAAGGCCCCCAATAGGCTCATATATTTGAATGTTTGGCTCCTAGTTATTGGGCAAAAGCCCACCCCAGGCCCAGTGTCTGCCTGCCTGCCTGTCTGTCTGTCTGTCTGTCTGTCTCTGTCTGCCTCTCCGTCTCTGTCTGTCTGTCTCTCTGTCTGTCTGTCTCTCTCGCTCTCTCTGTTTCTTTGTCTATCTGTCTCTGTATCTCTGTCTCTCTCTCTGTCTCTCTCTCTCTGTCTCTCTCTCTCTTTCTCTGCCTGTCTGTCTCTCTCTCTCTCTGTCTCTCTCTCTCTCTCTCTCTCTCTCTCTGTCTCTCTCTGTCTGTCTCTCTGTCTGTCTGTCTCTCTCGCTCTCTCTGTTTCTTTGTCTATCTGTCTCTGTATCTCTGTCTCTCTCTGTCTCTGTCTCTCTCTCTCTCTCTCTGTCTGTCTGTCTCTCTCTCTCTCTCTGCATATTGCTTGTGGATAAGATGCAAGCTCTCAGCTACTGCTCCAGCACCATGCCTACCTGCCGCGATATTCCCTGCCATGATGATCATGGACTCTGAAACTGTAAGCAAGCCACTCATTAAATACTTTCTTTTATAAGTTACCTTGATCATGGCGTCTCTTCACAGCAATTCAATGGTCACTAAGACAGAAGACAAACAGGAAGCTCTGCCCTTACAGAAGCAGACATACAGCAAAGTCGTGGGAAGGCAAGAACCAATGTTCCTAAGGGACAGTCTCTCAGGCCAAGAGAAGAGAAAGGAAGCACAAGGGTGGTGCTGTAGACCAGTGAGAAAAGAGAGGACCATGGAAACGTGGTTCGAGAACACCCAGCTACTTCTACGGAAAAAATAATATTAAATTTATATTTCATCTTACACAAAAATCCCCAGATAAATTAAATGTAGAAAGTCTTCCAGGAGACCCAGGTTTGGTTCCCAGTACCCACATCAGACAACTCACAACTGCCTATAACTCCAGTTCCAGGGGATCCAGTCCTCTTATGATCTCCAAAAATACCTGTATGCATGTGTTATACATATAGGCAAGCAGGCACATACACACAAATAAAAATAAATATTTTTAAAACCATAAATGTGGTAGAACTCTCATTCAATGACTGATGGAAGCGCATGCAGAGATCCATGGCCAGGCCCCAGGTGGAGCTCCAGGAGTCCAATAGGTGAGAAAGAGGAGGGACTGTATGAGAAAGAATTGTTGAGACCATGATTGGAAAAAGCACAGGGACAAATAGCCAAACTAGTGGAAACACATGAACTATGAACCAATAGCTGAGGAGCCCCCAACTGGATCAGGCCCTCTGGATTAAGTGAGACAGTTGATTAGCTTGAACTGTTTGGGAGGCCCCCAGGCAGTGGGACCAGGTCCTGTCCTTGGTGCATGAGCTGGCTGTTTGGAGCCTGGGGCCAATGCAGGGACACTTTGCTCAGCCTGGGAGGAGGGGACTGGACCTGCCTGGACTGAGTCTATCAGGCTGAGCTGAATCCCCAGGGGAGACCTTGCCCTAGAGGAGATGGGAATGGGGGGTGGGCTGGGGGGGGGGCGGGAGTGGGGAAGGAGGGAGGATAGGGAAATCGGTGGCTGATATGTAAAATTAAATTAAATTATAAAATAAAAAATAAATAAATAAATAAAACCATAAATATTTTAGAAGACTACATAGGAGAATAATCTCATGCCTTTTAAATTTCTTTTAAAAGACATCAGAAGTACATGTAACTAAGGAGAATAGATATATCAACTACTGTGGATTAACAGGTTCTGTTTGTCAAAATACACCCTATGTGAAAATACATACTATAAACTGCACAAAGATAATTTAAGAAATAATTTAACAAAATGATAAGAAACTAGAAATGATCTATTCAAAACACTGTTCAATATACTAACAAAACCCAGAACTAGTCACACATGCTAATAATTCACACTGCTTGAGAGGCTGAGGAAAGAGGTCACGAGGTCAAAGCCTGCCTAGGCTATGAGTGAGATCAAGGCTAACCTGAGAGACTCAGTTGAACCCTGTCTCAAATTTTAAACAGAGTAAAACAAAAGAAGAAGAAGCAGCAGCTAAGGACTTAGTTAGCAATAAAGTGGTGGCCTAGCATTCAGAAGGCCCTGGTTCAATACCTAGTAACAAGAGTGAAATTACAACAAGAAACAAAAAAGACAAACTAAGGGGGAAATAAGCTATAAACTTAAAAAAAAAAAAAAAACAAACAATAAGAGCCCAAGTCATAAGTGTCATTTGGGCATCACATATTAAAAAAAAAAAAAACATTGGTCTTACCAGCGCCGCGAGAGGTAGTTAAAATTAAATTCAAACTGGCTCAGCACATCTCCTCCTACAGCAAGAGAAACATATTTACAATCTGTAGGCTAATGCCAAGACACTTCTTACACATTCCCACAAACCAGACTTTTCCCATAGTTACTCATTCTCTGTTTAAGATCTGTCTTGAAGAAAAAGCTATCTTTTAAATATCTTAGCTAGTGAAATGTATGAATTAAGAATCATTTGTATAATAAAATAATTCTATTTTCTCTTTGTTTGTTTAACAGGGGATCACTGTGTAGCTCTGGCTGGTCTGGTACTCACTGTGTGCTTAATGCTGGCCTTCAACTTGCAGTAATCCTCCTGTCTCAGATTCCCAAGTGCTGGGATTATAGATATGTGCCACCACACTCAGCTTTGGATTTATTTTACTTTGAAAAAAGATAGACCATATAGGTCCTTTTAAATAAATACTAACTTGTATATTTAAAGAGAATTACTACAGGAAAAAAGAGTTCACCAATTGAAAGCTAAAATACAGGTGACTAAGACTAATTTATCAAATGGATTTTAATCCAACATATAAGTGAAAATGTTTTAATAAAATTATACATCAACAACAAAATATATATTTTTTAGACAAAGAATATATTAAAATGCCCATTTAGAAATGCATCTCTGTGCTGAATGAACTGTGTTATATTCTAAATGAACTTTAGCATTATAATCAGAAAAGTACTTAACAATGTGTAAGGTTGTCAGCATGGCTCAGTGGGTAGAGGCACTTGCTATATAAGCCTGGTGACTTGAGGTCATTTCCCAGAATCCACAGAAAGGTGGAGGGAACCACTCCTTAAAGTGACCCTTGGACCTTCACACATGCACACTGTGGCTCATCA